CGTAGGGTTGCTATGGGCCAGAACGTTTTCATGATGTTTCTCGTAGGGTTGCTATGGGCCAGAACGGACTCAATGACCCCTCACAACAACAACAACACCCAGAAAACCAGTGTCGACTTAAAACCATTACTCAAAAGCAAAGACAAAAAGATAAGGGGCGAGGACTCTAGAGTACTAGAAATGAGACAGAGCGCAGAGAGAATGCAGACACATTATCATAAACGTAACTGTTATTGAGCACTTTGCTGTATAAACTCTAAGCAAAAACTCAACAGAATGCTATTTTTAAAGAAAGAAAACAGCAGGAGCACAATAAGAAAGAATTTTTTCACAAAGTGTGTCTCCTCAAAGCCATGTTCCTTACTCCTAAAAGTTACACCCTGTCCCCAAAGCTGAATTTTACTTTAGTTAAAAGTATTTAATTAAAATAAAAAGTACAGTTCCTCATGTTGTGGTGACCCCCACCCCCAACCATAAAATTATTTTCGTTGCTACTTCAAAACTGTAATTTTGCTATTGTTAATAAATCATAATGTAAATTATCTGATATGCAGGATGTATTTTCATTGTTACAAATTGAACAAAATTAAAGCATAGTGATTAGTCCCAAAACAATATGTAATTATAAAAAAAAAGAATGTGAAAAAGAATGATAACAACATAGAGAGTCTTTGATTTACAAGGATGTATTTGAGTTACAACAAACCACACTTACAATAGCCTGGTTTTGTTTTTTGTCTTGTGTTTTGGTCATCTTAATCTTAGTACTATGTGCTACATACAATGTTAGACTATGTCTGTAAGTTTACATGCAATGTTTCCAACCACCAAAGACTAATGAGATCAGATTTATTAAGAAAATGAAAAAAGTCAATTAAATGAAACCTAAAAAAATATTAAGTTCATTCAACTTGTGTCATAAGTGACTTATGAGCCATTGGAATGAGCTCCAACTGTAACTCAGGGATTACCTAAAATAGATGCAGCCTAAGGGGTAAGTGTGAGTATCTCTACCGTATCTACGTAGATAGGGGAAGTTTGGGGTTAACCGGTTGCTACCTTACAGACTGATCTTTTTTTTT